TTCAGAAAAGTAAAACTTTGATGTTTCATCAACTTTAATCCATAAAGATTAGTTTAGTTAAATAAGATTTTTGCACAGAAAATCCATACATAGCTGAAATCAGACTGAGGGAGAAAAGAGATCTGTCCTCTTTCCTCCTGTAACTTTGATAAACATTCTCTGATTATCAAAATGCGTAATAACTTTCAGTTAAGAGAACGCTAAATCAAATAAGAAGAAGATTCTTCTGTCTATTATCTGATTAAGAAAAAGAGAATGTCTCTTTGAAAAGTTAAGGCGACCTGAGGTGGCCCAAATTCAGTTCTGAGTGGAACAGAGTTTTTGTCCCTTTAAAGGCCCATCAGAGGACTGAGGTCCAAGATAGTTTCCTTGATTATTGCACTCGAGGTGACCCCTACAACGTCTCTCGTCCGTCCATCCCTGAGAGAGTCCATGACGACGCCACCTTCTGTCAGTCTCTGAGAGGGTCAACAACAAAGATGCATTTCACCCAATTTCAGAGGGGTCTACAATAAAAACACCTCCAAGGGGCTCAAAGAGGACACCTTTCAGTTAGCCTCTGAAAGGGTCAACCTCTCCTATGTGGATGTGGACGGGCTGTCCACCTGAGCTCTGCCTCCTCTCTCGACAGGCCCCAGGCCATCCACCCAGACTCTGGTCTCATGTTTGGACGTGCCCAGGGCCGTTCACTTAGACTTTTTGTGTTGGACTGTTTTGAGCTCTTTTTTGCCCCGGGCCTTAACGCCCTGTCAGTTTTCTGTTTTTCTGTCCTTTCCCTTCATCCTACTCTCCCCCTCCTCTGTCCAAAGCCAGTGTTTTATGTATTTTGTTTATTTCTTGCTCTATGTCCCTTGGTTTCCTCCACGTCCCACCCTTTCTTTTGTTTTGGGATGTCAGGGGCTGCCCCTTGGGGTGAGGTACTCTGTTTCAGTTAGTTATTTGCCACCGTTCTGATCCTCCTTGTTCTTTCCTGTGATTTTTCCTCCTTTTCTTATCTTCTTCATGTAAGTTTGTGTTGCAACAACAGTATTTTTGTTTTTAGTTCAGTTTCAATTCTTTACTCATTTCATTAAAACAAAACAAATAATTTTATATACAATATACAATAAAAG